ATGACTCCATGACACCATGAAACCATGACACCATGACAACATGAAACCATGACACCATGAAACCATGACACCATGACACACCATGACACCATGACTCCATGACACCATGAAACCATGACACCATGACAACATGAAACCATGACACCATGACACCATGACACCATGAAACCATGAAATCATGACACCATGACACCATGAAACCATGACACCATGAAACCATGACACCATGAAACCATGACACCATGAAACCATGACACCATGACACCATGAAACCATGACACCATGACACCATGAAACCATGAAACCATGAGACCATGACACCATGAGACCATGAAACCATGACACCATGAAACCATGACACCATGAGACCATGACACCATGAAACCATGACACCATGAAACCATGACACCATGAAACCATGACACCATGACACCATGAGACCATGAAACCATGAGACCATGACACCATGAAACCATGACACCATGAAACCATGACACCATGAGACCATGACACCATGACACCATGAAACCATGACACCATGANTCCACCATGAGAGACACTGAGTCCACCATGAGAGACACTGAATCCACCATGAGAGACTCTGAGTCCACCATGAGAGACTCTGAGTCCACCATGAGAGACACTGAGTCCACCATAAGAGACTGAGTCCACCATGAGAGACTCTGAGTCCACCATGAGACTATGAGTCCACCATGAGGGACTCTGAGTCCAACACGAGACACTGAGACCACCATGAGAGACACTGAGTCCACCATAAAAGAGACTCTGAGTCCACCATGAGAAACTCTGAGTCCACCATGGGAGACACTGAGTCCACCATGGGAGACACTGAGTCCACCATGACAGACACTGAGTCCACCATGACAGACACTGAGTCCACCATGACAGACACTGAGTCCACCATGAGAGACTCTGAGTCCACCATAAGACACTGAGTCCACCATGAGAGGCTCTGAGTCCACCATAAGACACTGAGTCCACCATGAGAGACTCTGAGTCCACCATGAGACACAGAGTCCAACACGAGACACAGAGTCCAACATGAGACACAGAGTCCAACATGAGACACAGTGTCCACCATGAGAGACTCTGAGTCCACCATGAGAGACTCTGAGTCCACCATGAGACACAGAGTCCAACACGAGACACAGAGTCCAACATGAGACTCTGAGTCCACCATGAGACACAGTCCACCATGAGACACAGAGTCCACCATGAGAGACTCTGAGTCCACCATGAGAGACAATGAGTCCACCATGAGAGACAATGAGTCCACCATGAGAGACAATGAGTC